ACAATTTTGTGGTTTGTCTCTTTTGCATCTCTTGTTGGGATCTACTCCATTGTCTTTGAACAAATTTACTGATAAAATTATTCTCTGAGACAGAGCCTGCATTGCGTAGGGGGGATTCTGTGTATCTTGTGGGGTTAAGTAGAAGCCTACAAGCAACATCTAGAAAGTCAATTGTAACTAACCCATGTGCTGCATTAAATATTGGATCTGCTGATTGTCCACGGTACAGGGCAACCAATATGGAGGTCATTGAGCTTGATACTGGTAACTGAAATTCTTATTGCTTAAACTAGAACTTGATTTTGCTGTGCTGATTTTGATTCACTTTTTGTTTTTAATGCTGCGCTCTGTTCAGATTTTGGCAGTACATTTTCTGGTGTACTAACCGATGAGTATGGAAGGGTTCAAGCCATCTGGGGTAGCTTTTCAACTCAGGTTTCCATCTTTTCCCTCAGCAAAAGGAAAAGAAAAAGCAAAATAAAAAAATTCAGGTATTTACTTTAACATTGGTTAATTTTATTTTCATTGGTGATTTGTATTTGCAGCTAAAATTTGGTGGCAGTAGCTCCGAAGATCATCAGTTTGTTAGAGGTCTCCCTATTTATTCAATCAGTCAAGTCCTAGAAAAAATTATTTCTGGTGCTCAAGGCCCTCCTCTTCTCATAAATCGTGTCAAAAGGCCAATGCCTCTTGTGAGAATTTTAGAGGTTGAACTATATCCTACATTGCTTTCAAAAGCCCGAAGCTTTGGACTGAGTGATGATTGGGTCCAAGTACGTCTTCTTCCTGATAGTAAATATTTCTTCCAACTATGTCTTGTATCTTTCTTTCATGTCAACCTTGAAAGAATTGGATGTTTTTGGTATGACGTTGCGTATAGATAATTAGTAATCCCTCATGGTCTATATAATTATAAAGAAACACTAAGGTTGAAGTTGGAGGAAAAACCCCAACTATAAATTTATAATGTTTGTATGACACAATTAGTGATGCGAAATCTGTTTGAAATTTTGTATCACAATAAAATCAAAGTAAGAAGCCTCTGTTTTAACCCTTATTTCTTAAGAGAGCATCATATAAATAATAAAATTCTGGAGATCACACTACCACTTAACAAAATCTTCTCTTGATGATGTCCCTACTTCTGCCAACATGAAGCCTAACTGGATAGTTGCGGCCAACCAAGCTGTTAGGCCTTTTATTGCAACCCAGGTTAGGGGAGTTTGAACTGAACTGAAACCCGACATTGATTTAATCATTGTCCTGTCTCTTGTCATCTTGGCCTAGTTGATTGTGAGAAAAACTGGATTGGTTTTATTAAGCTTTCCCACTGTTATTTGGTGTAATTGGATGGAGAGGAGAGTTCAGATCCTTTTCGGGTTGGAATGTTCAATGTTAAAAATCCACCCTTACCTCTTGTTCCTCTTTTAGGAGTTATGTTTTATGTTTCTGGGCTGTGCCTCAATGACACTTAATTTAGGGTGGTGCTATCTGCACATCCCCTTTTTACCTCCCGCACACCCCTGTTAGTTTTTGTCATTTAATCTTCTTCAATTCCTTTGATCTGACAGCCGGAAATTGAGAGGAGTGTGGGAAGGTAGAAAGAGATGTGCATAGTACCACCCTTAATTTATTTTGAATAAACTAGAGAAACTGCAAGGGCTAAATATAACTGTCCCTTATTCTCCACATGGGGTAGCAGTGTACCGGTTTTGACTATTATTCTGAACCTCTTTTTGACCTTTTGATATCCTTTACTCTCTTGGTTTTACTGTTAAACTCAGAAGCCTTGTTTCTGATCCTTGATCTCGATTGTGCATTTTTTTGGTTATTGATTTTGGAGTTGGATCCCCAAACTGATATATATGTGTGTGTGTGGAAAATTACCATGACATTGTGATTATTGTTCTTGTTTTAGGCTCTTGTTAAGAAAGATCCGATTAGACGACAAGTTTTACGTGTCAAAGGATGTTTAGCTGGATCTAAAGCCGAAAATCTGTTAGAACAAGGAGACATGGTTTTGGCGATCAATAAGGAGCCAGTTACATGTTTCTCCGATGTCGAAAATGTCTGCCAAGCACTAGATAAAAGTGAAAACAACAATGGCCAGCTTGACATGACCATTTTTCGCCAGGTAAAGAGAATTTGTGTTTGTTAGATTCCATTTCCAGTCATTGCAAAATCTTTAATCTTTGAGTTAGGAAAGTGATGGTATTTGTCTTGGTATGGCTGTTTCCTTGGATTATTACTGTAAGGACTTTTTAATTTTGTTTTAATGCTGGATTTAGGGGCAAGGTCTTTTAAATTACGCTCCTCTAAAGTCTCGTCTCTATTGTTTTCCAGGGGCGCGAAATCAATCTTCTTGTGGGAACGGATGTTAGGGATGGAAGTGGTTCTACTCGTGTAATAAATTGGTGTGGATGTATCGTTCAGGATCCTCATCCAGCAGTGCGTGCTCTTGGGTTTCTTCCAGATGAAGGTCATGGTGTATATGTCGCGAGGTACGAATTCCTCTTTGTGAAATTTGAATGCTTGATTTGGGTGAAAGGTGACTACATAGTTCACTCTATTTTGACAGCAAAAATATTTTTCTGAGTACAGTAGGGTTTTTAAGTTAGTATGTATCTATGAACCCCAGCAATTCTACAGGGGTCAAACTGGTGTACAATGCCTGGTGGACAGACACTCCTTTGATACTAATTTTACAGTTTCCACATGTCAAAAGAAAGTTCATTCGTCATCAAGCACTCACATGTGTCAGCATTTGTGTTGACTAGCGTCACGCATATTGCAAACTGGTGTGTGTGTGTGATTCACATTGCACATATTTTCATTCGGAGGAATGAATCTTATTGTAATGCAATAGATGCAGTGGGAGTGTGGGATTAGGAGAGTACATGCGATAAGAGACTCTTGTTGGCGGGTGGAATATATCATTTTTGAAAATTAGCCCATACTGGCATTTTGCTTAATATATGTACACAAATAAATAACTTAGTTGCTGTTTTTGTTTTCATAGTTGTGGAAAACAGTGCATAGTTTCCACTTTGTCTCTTAATAATTACTTGCACCTTTTGTTTTATAAACTTTTCAGTGATATGACCTTCCATGTCCATACTGTTCGATTCTCTTAATATGCTGACGACTTGCCAAATTTATCAGGTGGTGTCATGGTAGTCCAGTGCATAGATATGGTCTATATGCTCTTCAGTGGATTGTTGAAGTCAACGGAAAAAAGACTCCTGATTTAGATTCTTTCGTGAATGTAACAAAGGTACGTACACTTGACTTCATATTTTATACGTGTTCGTGCGATGCATTGCTGAGATTTGCGCGATATATAGCTCGTGATAGCTTTTTTGTTTCCCCTTTGGTGTTTTTCGTATTATATAAATTGAGCTGCTTATGATATCTTTGCTTTCGTATATTTTCTAATTTTTGTAATCTCGCTTTAAAATGTGATCAGGAATTGGAACACGGACAGTTTGTTCGTGTGAGGACAGTCCATCTAAATGGGAAGCCAAGAGTTCTAACATTGAAACAGGACTTGCACTACTGGCCCACATGGGAGTTGAGATTTGATCCTGATTCTGCCATCTGGCGTCGAAAGACGATAAAGGCGCTGGATTATACCAGTATATAAACGAGCGCGTTCATCTCGCAAGGCCTCCGAAGCAGGCGGTAAACGCTTTAGAAACACCGAAGCCCCTCGAGACAAGTTGGGGCTTCGACCCATCATACATGGGAGTAATATTCAGGTTGGCAGCTATCTGCATTGTGCATTGAATCATATTATCAGGGGTTCATTATATTATATATTATATTCTGGAACCATATTATCTGTAGATGCAATGGGAATTGTTATAGAAAAGTTTGAGGTATGGTCGTTTGGATTAAGTTGTATCCCTTCAATTAACAAAATGTGGAATTGTTAGATGAAGAAAATAAAAAAAAATAAACACAAAAAAGTTGATATTTTAATTTGTTGTAGGAAATGTGTTATGGTTATTTAGTTAATTTATGAATGTATTTTCAGCTTCTTTTATGATAGTAATGTCCTCTGGTGACCAACCACATATAAGACAACTATGATGTTTCAAATTAAAGTAGTAGCTTGTATTATTTCAACTTTGGAGTTCTTTTTCGACATGTATATGTTTTTTTGTTTGTTTGTTAAATGATAGATTTTGTTAGATTAAATGTTTGATTAGCTATTGAGGGGTTTGAACTCACACGTTGTCATGCAAGGGTTCACCTTTCAACCGCTGTGGTAAAAGGTCACTTAATCGACATGGATATGTATTGAGCATTTATGTTTTGGTGTCTAAACTCATTATTTTTAATTAAAAAAAATCAAATTTTCTTTAAACTCAAGTTTACAACCGAAATTAGTATCACAAATTCAATTAAATATGTAAATTTATCTTTAAACTGAATTAAAAATAAGAAACCAAAAACCAGCAACGTTGCTGACCACCACCTATACAACATATGCATATACTCCCAAATGCAAAAATGACAAATGGGTTTTCTTTCCTTCTTTCAGTTTGTTGTGTTAAATTCACGAAGGTGAAGAAATTGTAAAACTAAAACTAATAAAGATCATATCAGCAAGTATCTGACAAGATCATGCATTCCAAAATACACAAGACGATATTTTTTGTGCTTAAATTCTTGAACAGCAGGAAATTGCAAGACCACCTACGATCATAACGGACAACTCGTAACAGCTCGAGTCCATGATAAACCAAATATAAAAGGACAAGGATTGTCTGCCCTCCTAGTTGTGGTGCCCTTCCATACTCTCCTATTTTGTACGGTCACGATTAAGCCACGTCAACATTTTATATTAATTTTTTAATGAGATAATAAGACAAAAAACAATAAAAATATAAAATATTAACGTGGCTTAACCGTGGCCGCACAAAATAAGAGGGCATGGAAGGGCACCACAACTAGGAGGGCAGACAATCCTTCTCCAATATAAAAACCTGCAGCATACGTATAGCAACTTAGTGCTACAAAAAAGAAAAGAAAAAAAATATATAACAGAAGCTGATTGGCACTCAGCACTTGACAGCTGTGAAGCCCTTCTCCTACCCCGGTGTCATGTGTCCATCGTGAATCCGGTATAGGTATCCTTGTTCAATTGGATTTAGGTATGCTTTTATAAGCCCTTCTCCGCTTATATGAAACGGGTTTACTACTACGTGATGTTTCTTGGCCAATAATACATTATCACGTCACAATGTATTGTTGAATAGGAACACTGTGCGTTCTACTCCTCCCTTGGCGGCATAAATTGGGAGCCTAATTTAATAATCTCTTACACGTAACGACGTCTTCTTCTTCTTCCCCACTCACTCAGTGGTGTCGGTTTGCCGTCTCCCGCCGTTCTCTGCAATGTCTTCCCCAACTGCAGAGGCAGATACAATCAAGAAAATGAAGAAGGAAGCAAAGGTTGGTTCGCTGTTGCTTCTTTTAAATTCACTTTTGGCTGAGGATTTTTATCCGACAAACTATAAAATAATTTACATTAAGCAACGGGGTTTCGAACCCGGGACATCGGGTGTAACGAAGAATCTGAGTTGCAAACCACTTGCTTTCGCTGAGAATCTGGAGTTAATTATTTGTATTTACTGAGAAACAAACAAAGCAAGTGAATTTATTTTGTTTTTGGCATTTGGGCAGGCAAAAGAGAAAGAATTGAAAAAGCAAAAAGCTTTGCAGAAAGCTATCAAGCTGCAGGTACTGGTTTGCTATACTTGTCTTTGCCGCTCCTCAGAAAGTTGAAAATTTTGGACATTTAAGATAGCTATGTTCTTTGTTCATGCTCTCAAACTTCACATTTATAAATATTCGAATTTCCAAAACCCCCCAAAACCCCATTGATAATATATTATAATATTCGAATATCAATGCAGTCACTGATGAAAGGCTAAGGCTTTATTTATTCGTTCTGTTACATTTAAAATCATTTAGGAGCAACAAGCATGTGCTTCTACTTTGAAGACAATTAAAACGAAGAATGCAAGGCTTTTGGATGATGAAGATGACAATGCAAGGGACCCGGAGACTCCATTCGGCCAGAAGAAAAGGATGGCCAGTCAAATGGCCAAAATGTACCATCCGCGTGCTGTGGAGAAGTCGTGAGTATACTCTTCTTTTCACCTATTAATTCTACTGATACATTGTCCTTGTAGTTTCTTCATAGTTTCCTCTCCATTACTTGCTGATTTAGGTGGTATGAGTGGTGGGAGAAAATGGGGTTCTTCTCGGCAGATGCTAACAGCTCTAAACCTCCATTTGTGATTGTGAGTGTCATACTACTCCAAACTAACGTGTGTCTGGGGTTCACAACTTCACATTGATATGGATAAACAGATCAAGAGAAAGAAATAAAAAATAGCGAGAACGTTAACGGGGTTTTGCATGTATTGCAGGTTTTACCGCCGCCCAATGTGACCGGCACCCTTCACATAGGCCATGCTCTTACTGCTGCTATTGAGGTCACATCTTTGCATAGATTACTCAGTTTGTGCTCTTCATTGGTTAGGGCGCGTAAAGAAAATTGGATCTGATTTTTCTGTATGTAGGACACTATCATTCGTTGGCGGAGAATGTCCGGCTACAATGCCATGTGGGTGCCTGGAATGGATCATGCCGGGATAGCAACACAGGTTCTGTTCTTTGTCTCTTTAATCAGCGATTGGTTGAGTATTTGCTTTCTTTTTGTTTTTGTGATGGAAGTAAATGCTTAAACTTCTGAGTATTACATTACCATTATGAGCAAAAGCGTTACTTCCGTTGCCCTGACTCCAGCATTTTACAGATATTTAACTTAACCCATGTGCCAAAAGTGCTTTAATGATTTAATGTGTTGTATGTTTGGCCTTTTTTTTGCCTGTGGGGATGAGTCCTTTCCCCTTAAAGCAGTTCCTTTTTGTAGCCCATGATTGACAACTTATTAACCGCATCATATGTTGATCATATAATATGCATGGACTTTTGATTTTCATGGATCTGGATTTATCTTCATTACATCTGTATACATTCGCTAGACATGACGTCCATGTGCTTATTATAGGTGGTTGTTGAAAAGAAGCTTATGAGTGAAAAAAATTTAACCAGACATGATATTGGTCGTGAGCAATTTGTGGCTAAGGTAAGCTTGAACTGCAAATAGCTGGAAATAAATTTCTTAAATAAGTTTGATGTTTTAAAAGTTTCTGAATACATTCATACTATTCATTCTGTGGTTAACTTGGTTGTTAAAGGTTTGGGACTGGAAGAAAAAGCATGGGAGCACCATTTTACAGCAGCTCCGTCGCTTGGGTGCTTCTTTGGATTGGTCCCGTGGGGTAAGATTGAGGTTCGTGGAGCTTTGTATGACTTTGCTTTAGTTGTTTATTAGACCTAGTTATGAAGACCTCTCTCGCTCTGATCTTGATTGAACCTTTGCGTTTCCTTAATTTTTAGTGCTTCACGATGGATGAGAAAAGGTCAAATGCCGTGACAGAGGCTTTTGTAAGGCTGCATAAGCAGGGGCTTCTCTACAGGTATGCTCGGCATAGGGTAGGGGAACACTTGTTTCTTATTGTCTTGTTTCCCAGCTCAGACCTCTATGCTAATTGGAATATAACCATTCTTGATAAAGACATTATATAGAATAGCTGTTAGCAACTAACTGCTGGATGCTAGCTTTGTCTTTCTGGTTCTTGTTTGACCTTGTAGTTATGTTTTGTTCAGTTAGTTTGTAAGTTGGGAATGGGACAGGATCTTGGTACCAGTGCGTAGCAATCATCCACACCTGTAACTCATCCTTCTGTTCTTTTTCTTCAATTTGGTTAACCTATTTGGATTTTTTTTGGCATGTTACGTTTTGCAGGGCTAATCGCATAGTGAATTGGGATTGTGTGTTGCGTACAGCTATATCTGACATTGAGGTCAGCCTTCTCCTTGTCCCTGCGTATACTACTCCCTTTTTTTTCAGCATTTATGAAATTTTTTTGGTGTAATTAGGTGGATTACATCGATATAGAAGAAAGGACATTACTGAGGGTTCCTGGATACGATAGTCCTGTTGAATTTGGTGTGTTAACTTCATTTGCTTACCCTTTGGAGGAAGGTTTAGGTGAGATTGTGGTGGCCACCACTAGAGTGGAAACTATGCTCGGTGATACTGCCATTGCTGTACATCCTAATGATAAGAGGTATGAACATCTTCATGGAAAACATGCCATCCATCCTTTCAATGGACGAAGGATTTGTATAGTCCTTGATGAAATTGTTGTTGATCCAGAGTTCGGGACTGGTGCTGTGAAGGTAAAGTTTAACATATAAGTTGTGAGTGATTGCTTTAATTTTTTATTTATTTTTTTTCTGGTTTATATTTTATGGATAAAAAAATGTCTTGTTCTCTCTCTTTTCCTCCTGCAGATTACCCCAGCCCATGATCCGAATGATTTTAATGCGGGAAAGCGCCATAACCTGGACTTTATTAACATCTTTACGGATGACGGAAAAATAAACGAGGAGGGTGGAGAATTTGCAGGAATGCCACGTTTTGAAGCCCGAGAAGCAGTGACAGAAGCACTAAAGAAGAAGGTATCTATCTTACATTACTACACTCATTTGAAAGTTCTATGCTGACTATCAACATGCGGTATCATTTTATCTATGTGAATTCACGAAGTGATCGGTATACATTTATATTGGCGGGGGCCTACTCAGTTAGATTGTCTATGCTAGAAGTAACATCTGTAGCACTATGACTGACACTTTCCTTCCTAGTTCTTTATTACTCTCTTCCGTCTGATACTCTTTTGATTTCAACAGTTAATTTGAAATTGGAATTGTTTGCATTTCATCATCCTGGACACTCAAATGAAGTTTAAAATAATTTACTTTTTATTGCATCACTTATCAACATCACCAGTTGTTTCACAATATTCCTAGTTGGTTGATACCGTCTATTTACTTCATTTTCTCTATGGTGTTATGGAGGTTTTGGTGACAAGTTTCTCATGCCATTTAGGGTCTCTTTAAAGAAGCAAAGAACAACGAGATGCGACTTGGAATTTGCTCTAGAAGCCAAGATGTTGTGGAACCCATGATAAAGCCCCAATGGTATCTTAAATGCAGCGGTATGGGAAAGCAAGCCCTTGATGCTGTCGTAGATGATGAACACAGGAAGCTTGAGATCATCCCAAGAGAGTATACTGCTGAATGGAAGAGGTAATGTCTTGTTTCCGTTTAGATCCTGCCGCCCTAATGAAACAGCCAGTTTAAATTTTTATTTGTCATCAGATATCATCTTTATCATGACATTTTTTATGGAATTAATGTGGTTAGCACATGTATTATTGTTATGCTTAACATTTCCCAGAGTTTCATTCAAAAGTTCTGTAGTTTTTGGAAAATATGCATTATTTGATAGGTCATCAATATCTCAATAACCGTTGATCTTTTTATTTTTATTTTTTGTTTACGATATATTCGTTGAACTAATGTCAATCAATGGTAGCTGTTATTATGATCTTTTCTCAGCCCTTTTCTTATAGTTATTTGTTTGTGTGAATAGTTGGTTCACTTAGTCTGTATTTGTTCTCTCTCTATATTTGATTAGTTTCCTATGCAAGTGCTTACCTACTATTGGTCCACCTCTCGCAGATGGCTTGAGAACATTCGTGATTGGTGCATCTCGAGGCAACTTTGGTGGGGTCACCGTATTCCTGCATGGTATGTTGTTTATGAAGGCGATAAGCAGGAAGATTTTGGATTTATTGATGACCGATGGGTAATTGCTAGAAATGAGGAAGAGGCTCAAGCAAAGGCTAGTGATGCATATCAGGGGAATTTTCAATTAATTCAGGATCCTGATGTCCTTGACACATGGTTTTCTTCTGGTTTGTTTCCATTGTCCGTGTTGGGCTGGCCAGATAACACAGAAGATCTGAAGGCTTTTTATCCGACTGCAGTTCTTGAAACTGGACATGATATTCTCTTTTTCTGGGTAGCTCGTATGGTAATGCTAGGAATGACATTGGGTGGCAACATACCTTTTACAAAGGTAAGCATAAATTGTTTCAATATAGGATGTTTAACTGTGTGATAAACAGATTTATATATGTTGTATATTCCCTCGTTATAATTTACTAGTTGCCTGACTTTAAGATGTTATAGCATACACTAATTAGGGACAAAATGTTCTTCCACATGGTAAAGCCTAGGGCTAAAGAAGTTTTGTGGAAAAATAAGTACGCTGTTGTGATGAGATTCCAATGTTACATGACTATTTTTGTTAGCTTGTCAGTGTGTTCCAGTAGGTATTTTAGTTTTGTGTCGTAAACTTTAAGACTTTTGCTTGTTTTCTGAAGGTATATACGTTTTGATTTGTGGATATCTTCCTGCGATAATTTTCATCGTATGTTTTTATTACTGAAGTGACAGGTGGACTTTTGTTTGTCTGCAGGTATATTTGCACCCAATGATTCGTGATGCCCATGGACGTAAAATGTCAAAATCCTTGGGGAATGTCATTGATCCACTTGATGTAATAAATGGTATTGATCTTGAAGGTCTACGGAAGAAGCTTTTAGAGGGAAATTTGGATGCCAAGGAAGTAGCCGTCTCAGAAGAAGGGCTAAAGAAAGACTTTCCTGCAGGAATTTGGGAATGTGGTGCAGATGCTCTCCGTTTTGCTCTCGTGTCTTATACTGCTCAGGTTTTGACTTCTGCCTTACTATATTATTCACGTAATTGTTTACTCGCAAGTCTTATACTGGTCAGGTTTAGACTTGATCTAAATAATCTGTTTTATTGTTTTGTCCTTTCAGCATGATAAGATTAATTTGGACATCCAAAGGGTTGAGAGCTATAGTTGCTGGTGTAATAAATTGTGGAATGCAGTGCGATTTTCTCTGAGCATACTTGGGGATGACTATGTTCCACCCTCAAGTGTAAATCCGGATTTGCTTCCATTTAGTTGCCAGTGGATACTCTCGGTACTGAATACATCCATATCCAAAATTATTTCGTCACTGGAATCCTATGAGTTATCAGATGCGGCCACCGCAGTGCATGCTTGGTGGCAATACCAGTTGTGCGATGTTTTTCTTGAAACTATCAAGCCTTACTTTTTTGGTAACGATCCAAAGTTTGCATCTGAAAGGGGTTTCGCACGGGATACACTATGGTTATGTCTTGAACATGGGTTACGGTTGCTTCATCCTTTTATGCCATTTGTCACAGAAGAACTGTGGCAACGTCTTCCATCTTCCGGGGTTCACAAGAGGGCAATATCAATTATGATGTGCGAGTATCCATCCATTGTAGATGTAAGTTTAGTCATAATAAAAGCGTTTAGTTTAGAAATGGTGGTTTTTTTTTTTTGTTAATATCACCTTGTAACTTGGAAGAAGGTTGCTGATGCAATGTTTGCTGTTGATCTGAACTTGGTTTGTGCACTAACTGCCTTTTTATCATGTTATTCTTCCAGTGCTGGACAAATGAAAGGGTGGAGTCTGAGATGAACCTTGTAGAGACTGTTGTGAAATCTCTCCGTTCACTTGCAAAAGAAAGTCGTGAAAGGTAGATCTTGAAAGTGCAGTGCAACTTCTATCTTGTTTCTTAAAAATCTCTGAAATTTTGATATGTGATATCTTCAGTTGGACTTCTCATTCTTTTTCTATTTTCCTTTTAGGCGACCAGCTCATGTAATGTGTCGAAACAATTTGGATTGGAATATAATCTGCAGCCATCGACTGGAGATTGAAGCTCTTGCCCATTTGTCTTCTTTGACGGTAAATGATACAATTTTTCTTTAAGAAAACCTGCTCTATCATATACCTTTTGTTTTGGTCGAACCTATCAACTTTTTTCTATGATGACAATTCTTTTGTGCCACCAGTCAAGCATGTTCCTCGTATAGAGAACAACGAATCCCTAAGATAATACACAGAGCCTATGCCATGCGGGGAGGGGGGTTGGTTGGTTAGGCTATAATCAAACGATTTTAAAACTAAAACCTAAGCCTACAATCAACCTGTCTGCATATTAATTAAGCAATTGCAGGTTTATTCACAATTCAATTGACAGAGAGCTAGCACATTGACTTGAATTAGCTTGAAAGAATTTGATAGTTCAATGTACTTGATTCACCCACCAAGTTACCTGAGCAGAACCCATGGATTGGCTTGTTCAGATATCCGAATATGGAGATTGGTTTTCTGCTCAAAGAATATAATCTCAAACCATAGAGAAGGGAATCTTCAAAAAGTGGCACTTTAATCCTATATATTGCCTGGAACATGTCCACGAAACAAGTGTTTGATGATGATGCTTTGGTAGTAAAGTTGGTTGTCTGCAAGGTTATTAGGTGATTAGAAATGATAAATATTCTTGTCCCTGCAGATACTCAGCGAGAATGACAGTTTTCCCACCAGCACCGTCTCCAGTGGATATGAGATGTGTCTTGTAAATGAATATCTGTCGGTTTTTCTGAGGGTTCCAAGAGTAAAGGCAGACCCTGAAAAGATCCGCGAGAAGATGGAAAAATTCATACTGTAAGCCCATGAATAAATCGTTTTTACTAACACAACGTTGCCTGTGCCATTTATTTTGTGCCATATGTATATATATTTAGGCCGTGTTTGACAGGTTGCAAGACTAGACTAGACTCAACTCAACTAGCTAAAAGATTAGATTTCATGCGCAATAGACGAAGAATATAAATGCCTTATATCTTGAAGGTTAAGATGGACTCTGCAGAAAGAAGTTTAATCTCGTACAATATCAAATGTCGCCCGAAGAGTAAGCTGCTGACTACTAACGAACTTTATTATGCTTACAGGGAACGGGAAAAGCTGTATCTGATGATAAACTCTCCTGGTTACCAAGAAAAGACATCTGAAAAGATTCAAGAATCCAACGCTGACAAGCTAGAATGCTTGAAGCAGGAAATAAGTACTCTGGGAAGGTTATGGTGGATGAATTCTCCTGGTTACCGAAAAAAGGCGTCCGAGGAAGATCAAGCATGTAGTGCTGACAATCTAGAATTCTTAGAGAAGGAAATAATGGAAAGGCTGCGATGCTCCTTTGTTTAAAGGGGCGATTGTTTTGTTTCCCGATCGCCACCAGGCGTCAAGATTAGATATTTATGATGTAATTATGATTTTGTTAGTTTAAATTGCCTTTGGTACATTCACGTATCAGCAAAATTGCAGAAATACAGAGTTATCTCCTTTCATCACTCTTCTCACCCTTATTCCACTACCAACTATTCCACCTTGCAATTAACGTGGACCAAATTTGAAGTTGTATTTCTTCATTGAGTTACCTTCATAAGTTATGAGGTAGCTTGGGAGTCAAGAAACCTGATGGCAAAAAACTACGAAATGGTTGTGGAGATTTCCGTTACATCCAGAAGCCTTATGGCACTTGGTACTTGTTAGTGCATGCTAAATTTCGTGTGTTGGCATATTCCTAGCGCAAAACTAATGTTGTGGTCACTCGGGATAGATTGAGTCGAAGTTGGGAAGCTCGACGACACAAACTTGTCCCGAAACATCACTATTAGGAAAGACAAGTGATGCTTAGATTCACTTATGGTATGTTTGGGCAAGGAACTTCTAAATTCAAAGGCAATTAGGAAAATAGTTGGATGCGAGGGATTAGAAACAAACTTAGACACATTGAAAATTTTCTCAAACGAGTTTCATTTAACAATGAACAGAGGAACCTCATATGATAGGTAACCAATGGAGATATATGTAAAGCTTTCAGTAGATTATTATACTAAAGGATACAACAGTTCTTTACAAACCAACTAATAGAATATTTTCTCTCAAACTCTCATACATTTTTCAGTTTATTGACACTTACCAGTCACCCGACTTCACAGAGGCCTGGACTGGCATCATTTTACTATATCATCTTTGTTCTTTGTTCTAGTACAGCATCGAAATTTTACCTCACAGGACCCGTGTCAGAAACACGAAGCTAATTAAATGAAAAACTGTCATTTCAAAGATACTTCAGAGGTGCAAGTACTGATTGGCAGATCAGTCGATGTGCATACCAGAGCCCTTTGCTGTAAATGTCTCAAGCTTTGCTCCATGCTAACTTGAACCATATCGGCAAGAATTTTCTTCGCTTTACTGGACTGATCATCACTGTCAATTTGAGAGATGATGTTGCATACAATGTTCTCCAGAGTGTCTGCTTCAAGCTCTGATCTCGGGTATGGAGACTCCCTCAATAAGCGCAAAAGCGTATGCGCTTTTGTCTGAGACTTGGGCGTTCCTTGAACTGTGAGCTCGAGAAGTCCAGGGATTACCCCGTCTTTAAGAATCGCTTCTCTATATCTGCACCTGTCACTTTGACACATTGTTAGTAGAGCACTTACAGCATGCTCCCGACTTTGGAGCGATCCATTTTCAAGCACCTCAATCACTGCAAGCACTCCGCCTTCTTCAGATGTGAGGGCAGTTCTTCCCTCGTCGAATCCCACCAGAGATTCTATCAGAGCACAGCATCTCTCAGCTGTTTTTGAAGATTTCTTGCAGGGCTTTAACAAAGTAACTATGGACGGAATTGGGTTTGCTTCAAGAATGATGCTAAGATTAGAAGGGTGTGTTGAGAGATTGGAAAGCGCCATTACTGAGTCGACTTTAGCTTGTGGGCTGCCATGCCTAAGGATTTCGACGAGAAGAGGAATGGCACCGGAAGCACCTATAACTGGCTTGTTGACGGCAGAAGCTGATAGAGTGAGTAGAGCTGCAGTTGCATACTCCTGCAGGGTGGAACTTTGTGACCGAAGGAAAGTAATTATTGGCTCCAAAGCGCCAGCTTCCAATATCTTAATTTTGTTCCTGAGAGACCAAATATTGAGAAGAAAAATTAGCAGCAGAAAAGGAAAATTGTGCCCAAAACATTGAAATTCAAATTGCCCAACCATCTTTCCAATTTGAATGGAAATACACTTAACTAGTAATTTCATCCAAATTTTAACCGTCTTGATTCTCAAATTGCTTAGACAATGCGATATTCTATTCTAAGCTACTCTAATTTACAAGAGTGATTCAAACTCGTAACTGACAGATTGGCCTAATCCACATATGAACTTAGTTACACCTCCATTTAGGCGCTAAGAAACTACCACAAAAAAATACAAAAAGAAATGTTTGTGTTTTATTTTATTACAAAAGTGTGATCTATATTTAGACTAAAGAAAAGAAAAAAAAAATTAAGAACAAAAGAAAAAGAAAAAGAAAAAGAAGGCAACAAAAACATGCAAAAAGGTTAAAAAAGAGGACCACCAATGTGCTTCTCTTACTCTATGCTTAGAAGGTACACATTGTTATCTTCTTCCCCACTAAACAAAAACCTTTTTAATTAGAATACGATAACTTGAGCAGTAGGATTCATAAAAAAAGGAGATGGAGTAAGAAGCAAAGAAAAAGAGAGCAACAACTCTCCTTGGATCCCATTTGCTTCTCGAACCATGAAGCATCCAATTCCTTTCAATACAAGTCTATCATAACTCACAAAGCAATCTCTTTGGTTTTCTTAACATTTTGATTGGTTCTTATTTGCTTTTCAACCCCCTAATGCTCATTTTGGTTGCGACAAATATTAAGCATTTCTCTTTGATCACTGTGTATAAATTTTTTAGTATACTGGAAATACGGTTATTCACACCAAGTGTAATAATAAAATTGATTGAAAACTCTCAACAAATTATATTATTACACTTGATATATCGGACTATGTTCTCAGTACACTGAAAAATCTATCGATCACATGAAGAACTTCATATTAATACCAACATTTTCATTGGCCATGCAAACTACTTCAATTCCTAGAAAATATTGTATATCTATGTGTATATTTATATATTGTTCCTTTAATTTCAATATTATTCAAGAAATTAGACCAAAAGTACTATTTTCTAAGCAACCAAACGAGCATAGCTTCCAATTCCATAAGAAAATGGAGCATAACTTGATTGCATTCTTTTCTTCCTTTTGGTAACTTTATGAACCTAATTATAACCAACCAAAGAACCAACCCATTTAAATAAACATTCTTTTTTCTTCAAAACAAAACAAAAATTGAAGAAAAGTGGATTTGAGCTGACTAACATAACAGAACGGTGCAGTTATAATTAGGTATTTAAATTTACGATAATTAAATAAGAGACTTTATTTTTTAAACAGAAAATAGGAGACTTATTTACAAGTGTAAAAGTTATACTTTTTGAGCTAGTATCACCCTATTATTTATTTATCATAACTTGAACAAGCTTTATTTATTTATTGCTACCCAAATAAAATTATTTTGACAAAACCAAAAACATGATAATAAAAAATTAAAAAGGCAAACAAAACAGATATATCCATGAAGGAAAATCTGACCGACAACTTTGGGATATTCTTTTCCCACCATCTTCTCAGCAACCAATCAGATAAAAGAAAAAGTAAAGCAAAAAAAAAGAAAAAAAGAAAAAAAGAGAATCCCCGAATAGGATTCTGCGGGAGCTATTATTTTATATTAATATTTATATTTTTCACCAAATTAAGAATCACACGAAGAAATTTCCCAAAATTCAATACACAATTTCCAAGAAGTAATAGTCACTTAATTCCATGAAAAAAAAGGAAAATCTTTTTGTAAAATAAAATTAAAAGAAAATAGAAGGAGTTCGAAGGGGAATGTTTACACGTACGTCTCATCCTTGACGGCGAGGTTGAGGAGGGCGAGTAGGGCCGACTCGTGGGACTCGGGCGAGTCACGAAGGCGGAGCATGGACACAAGTGGGCCCACCGAGTCGGAGAGCTGGCGCCGACACCGCTGCGAGGTCTTGGTGAGGCGGCGGATTTCCTGGGCGCCCTGGAGCTTGGAATCCTGGTCGTCGGATTGGATGAGTTCGAGAGCGCGATGGACGGCTGAGTATGAGGAGAAGGTGGGAGAGAGTGAGTCCGGAGTCGAACTCAGACCGTCGGATGATGAGCGGGAATCCATTAAGAAGGGAGGTGAACGAAGTGAAGAGGTGGTGGTGGGTAAGTTTAGTTGGGTGGGTGGGTGATCGAGTAAGAAAAAACAGAGGGGAAGAAATATCTGAGTGGGGAAATTTAGAGGCTCAGAAGCGCTCCGAGGAGAGAGAGAGGGAGGAGAGAGGGAGGAGGGTTGGCGTTTAAGCAAACAGTACAGTTCGAAAGTTTTATTGGACAGCAACTTGGCTCCCGTCCGTTGGTTTGTCTTTGTTTTTTTTTTTTTTTGGGAGAACATGCGTTGGTTTCTTTTGGAGATTTGTCGATATACGAATAATTTAATCATTTTTATTTCCATATAACCATATGATCGTCCCGAGTTAGTCGTTTACGGAAAATTTAGGAACTATCATTTATAAAGTAAAAGATAAATTTTCCTTTTTGGAAGCAAAAAAGTTGGGTTCGTTTATATAATAAGCAGTCTCGTGCCCGTTGTTTTACAATAAGCTGTTTTAAAAATAGTTAAAAACGATTTTTGTGAAAATATTTTTAAAATAAATTTAAGTAGGTTTTGTAAGAAATACATAACTAGTGCTTCTTGTAGGAAACACCTAATTAGAGTTGCTTGTAAGAAGCACTTTAATTTTTAGTAAAAATGCAAGTAAATTTTAGAAAAACACTTGAAATGCTTATTGTAAGAAATACATAACTAGTGATTCTTACAGAAAGTACATAACTAGAATTTTTTTGCAAGAAGCATTTCAAGTGTTTTTGAACCCATATTTTTTCTAAAAAAAAAGAACTTTTAATTATTTTAAAAACAATTTCAAACGAGCTTTAATAATTGTCTAGTCATTTTAAAGAGCTTCAAGTGTTTTTTCAAGAAACACTTGCATTTTAAAAGTATTTTTACTAAAAATATTTCTGCACTGAATTTATTTATAAAAAAAATCAATTTCAAATAAGCCCTACTGAATTGCATACTGAGAGTAATACTACTTTAATTTAGGGTTCTTTAGATATAAACTCATACAACACTTATTTTCTTAACAAAAACCCATCTCGTTTTAAACATTCAAATAAAACCCAAATTTGAAATAAATTGCCATGTAAACAAATAAATACCTATTATTTTCAAAATATATACAATTGTGCCACACACCCTAATTATGTTGATGAATTTAATTACCACCATAATTATAGCAAATAAGTGCTTTATTATTACAAAATTATCTACTTTATACTTGTCTTACCATCATCTGTTCCGTTTCTTTATTTGTTTGACAATCATTGTAGGTAAATTATTTTGCATGTATACGTTAGGCACATTTTGTTGTTATTATATCTGTGTGAAATAAATTACCTATATTTTTAAGTAGAATAAGGGTAATTAATTAACTTTGAATCAATTGGCTAAAAAAATTATTTTATTTTGTAGGTAAATAATTTTGCATGTATTATTACATATACTAGGCACATTTGTTATTATTATGTGTTGTTTGCAATCAATCAACATTCATTTATTTTGTAGGTAAATTATTTTGCATGTATTATTACATAAGTTAGGCACATTTTGATATTATTATATATATGTGTATGCAAATAGCTTAAATAACTTTTGAATCAAACATTATTTATTTATTTATTACGTAGGTAAATTATTTTGCATGTATTATTTTACCTGGAACTTATATTGTTATTTTATATATGTAATATATTGGTAATTTTGAATAAAATAACATTTTTATATTTGTAAAAAAATGCTAATTTACTTGTTACAATTATTTGAAAAGGAAAAAAATGCTCATTTTTACATAAATATGAACACAACTATATAAGGAAACAAAACTCTAATGTCATGTAATTTTTGTTATTAATATGCATTGAAATCATGACACTCAAAATTTTCTTTTCCAAATCTGCATAAACATTTCAAAACGTTTAATTGAATGAAATAATATAAAATAAATGTAGATAACAAGTAATAAACCCAAAGTCAATAATATTAGGGGTAATTTAGACATTCAAAAATACCAATTTTGCCAAGTGATACTTAATTATGGATATTGCTTAGTTGGAGCCTAGTCATTGGGTTTTTATCAGAAAATTTTACAATTGGGGGTTTTAATTAATGAAAATTGAATTCCAAAGGGTATACTCGTATTTTCAGTTTAATTTATACGGAGATAGTTTGAACTGGAAACAAAACAAATTGAAGAAAATCCTTATCAATGTAGCAATTCGCCACTTGTCAATCGTAACTTTATGAACTAAATAAAAAAGTTAGGAGCTGCAGGCGTGAGCATTGTGTCACCTTTGCAGTGGCTTAGCGATTGATCATCTGATTAATAACTTTAATATGCGGATGGTAATGTCTGTGGCCATTTATGAGAACACGTGGTTAAAGCATGATTAGAGACTGGATTAGTCTAGATAAAAAAAACTATTAAATCAATTAAAAACAGTTTATGCATCTAAATCACGGTCCAAATAGTTAAAACTAAGACTAACTATTTTTTAAAAATATAAAAGGGATGATTAAGTAGTAGAGTTTGAAATTTCGTCGTGGGTGGTCCATATGTTTAAGTATACTTTAACATTACAGATATCTTTCATTATCTTATACAGTTAAACAACAAAAGTAAATTTGGATTTGGGTAAATTCATGAATCTAACTAGATAAAAAATAAAAATAAAAAATAAAAAACTGGAGACAGTAAGCCGATCAAATTTTGAAACCCGTCCAGCTAGTTAACGGAAATTCTTGCATTGAAATATTATTTATCCAAGCAGTTCGATTGTAAATTTATGGATTTTGAATAGGTACATGTAAAAAATAATAGCTTCAAATAGAATATTAAAACATGTATGGTGTCCTTTTTGGGTTCAACTTTTTACCTTGAAATCAATGAGTACTACGTAATTATTTAGCTACGTTAAACTGGATCTATGAAGGATACCGAACAACCCATTTGATATTTTTTTTTTTTTGGTCAAATAGAATATTAGATTTGGAAAGTGATCAATTCAAGTTTTAGAATATAACCAATAAAAACAAAAAATAAAAATGGTAGAGCATTTGGGGCCTCTTAAAATCGGGGTCATTTTAATTAGTGTCCTCCCCTTAGAAATGATCAGTCCATGGATATATTTTAAGTCAAATTCTTGGACCATTGGCTAATCTAGCATGCACAAGAGGACTTCTTTCAAAATCTTGAGTAACCAAATATCGTTTCGTTAGATTACATATATAGATCTAACATATATCAGTATTTGACCATGTCTCTTTTCTAAAATATGGATCAAGAACAAAACAAATGGACTCTCCATGAATGACACTAATGCAGTTATATATATCAAGAAGCATAATTAATTAGATCACAACATTTCATAATTAAAGCAAAAATACAGGTTATAATTCTTAATTCATTGCCAACTTCCTTGTATGGCAACGCTTTTCCTTTGCCTACATATATAGTTGCTCTTGTTTTTATTTTTATATATTTTTCTAGCTTAATTATGCATCATTTTCAAGTACTAATCAACGATTACTTCGAGCTTGAACTTGTGTCTCTCTGAGAAGATGAGAGGATGGCATCAATGGCTTCCTTCACTTGAGAAATATCAGGAGCTTTCCCACCTTGAACCGGCCAAAATTCATCAGTTGCCAACACCTAAATCATCAGATCTCACACATATAAGACTCTCTAGTATTAATTTGAAGACATGCAATAGATAAATTAATTTACAAGGAAATTATTTGTTTGATGTTACACCTTGACTTGCAATTGAAGAAATTTAACATAACTGATCGCTTTCTCTAACATGGTCACCAAATCAACCTGCAAAAATGTACGTATAAGACAAATTTAAGAATTACAAAAAAAAAAAAAATTAATATAAACTTACAACACTTTATGTGGTGATCAAGAAATTATATAAGCTAATAAGAAATTAACTCACCTTGCAGCCATTAGGAACCAGTTCTTGCAGTATCTTAAGCCGCTCGCTAATCCGCTCTCGTCGATTCTGAAAGACAAATATTCTTTCATCATTATAAATTCCATTTGATATAGTTTGCTTAGGTTGCACTCAATTAATCAAAACTGAATGAATTGTGTCCAAACCTTGGCTGCAATACTTTGGGGGTCCTTTGAAGCACTTGTCGATGACTTGGGTTTGGGCTTCTTAGTTGCACTAGTGCATTGCTTCTTTGAAGGTTGCATGCTCTCTCCCTGTCAAAAAATTTCTGCTATATCAAGGCCATTATTCGTGGTGCACAAATGGAACTGTACAAGTTACATGACAATGTTGACTTCCAATTTAGCAAGAATCTACTCTCAATCTAGACATTGTAGCATGAATCAACTCAATATCTTATATAGTCGAGATTGACAGTTTTCCGACATATTTAATTAATTTTGTGAACAAAGAGAAGAATAAAAGGAGCTAATTACCGTAATGGGACGCTTGTGAAAGCCTGCTTCTTGCTCGTCTGATTGCTGGAAGTAATCAGTTGCCTCAGAGTATGTCCATCCATAAGCCTCATGATCTCCATGGTCTTCTTTTGATATGCTGTGGATGGAGCTGCTGTAATTGCTAGCCGTCTGAAACCAATTCAAATCCCCCAAAAGGCTATGATCGCCGATGCCAGTCGTCTGATTCCACTGGCTGTAACTACCATGATGCAAATCACTGTCGCAGTTATCTTTGCTGGCACTACTGTTCAAGTAAATGCTTTGAGAATTCTGCTTGTTTTTATCAAAACTAAGCAGAGATTCACCACTGTTGTAGTACCCACTTTTGAAGTTAATAAGCTGATCAGGTTGGTAACTAGATGGGGCTCTAAACACAAATCCATTCGAAAGATCTGAAACTTGAAGGGAATCATGAGTGCATGAGTCATGAGGAGTAGGCATTCTAATATCCTTGGCTAGTGCCATTTCTAGGGAGAGGGAGAGAGAGAGAGAGAGAGAGAGTGGAGAATGATGCTAAAGTAAACTACTAAACTTGATGATCAAGTAGTTAGCTAGCTAGGCATGCATATGCAGAATGACACAGAGTGGAAACCCTATTTGTAGGGGTTCAAACTAAAAGATTATTATATTATTGGTTATGGGTCTAATTGCAATATTATTAATTAAACCAGAATAAATAATTAAAATGTATGACACTGAAAGTAGCTAGCTAGCTAGCAAAGTCCGATTAATTATAGTGCTCATGGGAACAAGAAAAGTGTATAAGTTAACTAAGGGCTGGTTTGGTATTGCTGTGCTTTGAAAAAAAGCTTCTGTGAGAATAAGCGGATGTGCTGTGAGAATAAGCGGTTGTGAAATAAATCAGCAGAGTGTTTAGTAAACTTTTTTGTAAAAGTGCTTTTGAAAAAAAAAAATAGTCAAATAGTGGGTCTTTTCATTAAATGAGCACTGTAGCTCCGTGTGCTTTGAAAAAAAACCAATTTTCCAAAGTTGCAAATAGCTGCTTCAGCTTTTTCCTTTGATTTCAGCTTATTCTCACAGCAGCTTCCAAAATAAGCCATTTTTTTTAGTTTACCAAACACCTAAAACCCCCACAGCTTTTTTCCATAGGTGCTTTTTTTTAAACTCCTCACTCCCAAACCACCCCTAATACTGTTGGAGATTGAGAGGTCTATAATAGTATGGCATTCATCTTCTAAGTTTGAGCCTTGGAGGTCTCAAGTTCGATTCACATTATATTTGTATTGTATTCGATCGATACTTAGTCATTCTCTGATCTATTGTATAGCCTAGCCTAATCCTCCTCCCTTATTGCAGAATATCCTTCTTCTTTGAGAGTAATAACGTGGAGGAGGTATGATAGGCCGTTGGTTAGATCTAGTATGGAACGTACATGGACGGTAGTGGGAGAGTTGTCAACGTACATGGACGGTAGTGGAGTCGACGACTCTCCATTACGAACAGCTTGATGCACTATCTCCCTTCAATCCTTTGAGCGAAATGCCGCAAAAGGAAGAAAAATTCATGGAACGACCCCATCGTCTCCACCTGTAGGAACTACGAATCACCCAATGACGCCTTCGACATTCAAGTGTAGTTGATCTAATTACATTTTTCATACTACATTTGTATTATTTATCTAATACAGATGAGACCCAAACGTGTTATGAAAAATGTAGTAAGTGCTGCATTACTCGAAGAAGAAGAAAAAACTAATATTGTTGGAGATTATAAAATAATCATATTTTTGTATTGGGAATGTTAGCTGGCAGAAGTGAGGAATTAGATAGGGAGAAGATTATATCCTATATAGAAGAAGATGATAATTATACTGGAGGAAAAGCATGCATGCAGCAGAAGGGTCGCCGGATCTTTCGCCACCCCACGTCGCTGAGATTCCCAGAGAATTCATAGTCTCTCATCATCTTCCGGAACCTGGACCACTTTAACGTAGCTTCCCATCAGCTTTCCCTTCTATCTCATCGGCACGTGGGTTCCGGCTGTATTTTATTTATTTTAATACTATTTTTACATTCTATTTCTATTTTTATACATAATAATACATTCTTGTTATAGACATAGATATATATATATATATAGATATTCAATTATGAAGATCAATTTACAACTTGAAAGTTTGAAAACCTTCTAGACTCGTTAAGACAAATTGTCAAAAATATCATAGTTGATGGGAGACTAGAGCTTGTTAATTTGGTTCGCGGAATGAATAATTTGAAAAAGTAATGTAACTCTTATGTTTAAGTCTTATGTTCGGCTTTGATGCATGTGTAAGCTAAAGTCCCATTGTCATGGAATTTGGAGATAATTAATACAACACATGGTGGAATATTTAAAATCGTTATTTAAAATTGTTATTACAAACCACATGAAAACAGTATGGGAGTATAAAACTTTGCAGGCAGACCAAAATGTATGTGTACTAACAAGAATACACGACATTTCTTTTTATGCATGTATGTATTGTATGGTATATATATGATGAGAAATTTTTCTGTGTGCCTGAAATACAAAGCGGTACACCATAATGTTCTTAACAATTGGAGGGAAGTTTTTTTTCAAGTCCCTCTACATTGTATAATAACATATGGCATATCCGTCTGTTTTCCTGGTTCACTGAAAAATCTCTCCACCGTGGAATAATACTAAACCAATTACTTTTGTTTATGAACCTTGAGAAAGTTACGAAGTATAGAGGATCTTTAAATCACATATCAAAATTAAAACTAGGTGTAACTTTTTTAGAAAGATAACATAATCAAATACATACGTAATCATTTTTATAATCTAAAGTAGCAAAATCGTATCCTGGCATATTTATAAGAATGTCAAAATTGTATATCAAAACTTTTGTTGCGATAAACACCAAATATTTAATACAAAAGACTGGATTCGCCAAAAAAATTTCTAAACTTTTGCTGCAATATTTGAATTAAACGTCTTTATGTCTCGTTTAACAACAACGACATATTTTAGTTACAAACAGACAGATTAAGTGAGGGTGTAGTCTGTTTTCTACATCTCGATACAAGTTAGAGAGAAAATTAAATAAAGCATTTTCTGAAGTCAAATATGTAAAGAATATTTTCTGCTTCATTTAATTAAATATGCACTGAACCATTTGCTGCTTGTTAAACATATAAACTCATTGAAGGTCATCATCCACATGCATATGTTGTGTCATTGACAGAGACAATGGGGGACGAATAGGGAAACCCAAAGCTGGCATCGAAACAAGAGAAAATTCCTTGTCCCAAGGAGATTGTGTTGACCCTTTCCTTGCCTTGGAGAGATCTTTAAGTAGGACAAGGATTGTGTGCCCTCTCATTTTTGATGTCTTCCTGTTTTATGTGGTTACGGTTAAGTCATATAAACATTTTATATTACTATTTATTTTTATCTTATTATCTTTATAAAAAAACAATATAAAATTTTGACGTGGCTTAACCGTGACCACACAAACAGGAGGGCACGGAAGGGCACCGAAAGTGGGAGGGCAGACAATCCTATGCAGGATACCTGTCCAGTATTATCATATTTGGTGTAACAAGCCGTATTTTCGACACACTAAAAAATTTATCTTTACTGTAATTAAAAGAAAACTGTCAAGAACACCAAATTTCTTTTTGGTCCAAATCAACCTCTCTTTATTACACAACAGATCATAAACCCTCTAAGCAATTAATCATAAGACTTATTTTAATGCTGTTCCCCTTATGTCCTTGCTGGTTCATACTCACTTGAAATTATTAGTAAATCCGTCCTAATTCCGGAACGTCTAAGAAGACTATATACTGAATCCATCTGGCAGTTTAAGTTCCTAATTAATCATTCTTAATTATATGTTTAGCACAGAGCTGGTCCCAATTTTTGGCTAAAGAATAAATTAGTCCCGTCTATCTTATCTTTATTTCTATCAGGCCATCTCTAACCGAGGGCTGGCCAGAGGGCTCGTTTTAGCCCTCTGGCCCTCCAAGATTCCTCAAGATATTAATATTTTAATGAACAGTACAGGGCCATATTGGCATCCGTCTCCAACCAAGGGCCAAAGGGCCAGAGAGCTCGTTTTAGCCCTGTCACAAAAAACCGTCTCCAACCGAGGGCCAAAGGGCCATAAGGCCAAACATAATTTATTATTTAAAAACTACAATTTAAATTCAAATCTAACAGCTAAGTGATGTTAACATGATGTCAGCTAGCCGTTGGTAGCTGACATCATGCTGACGTCAGCTAGCCGTTGGATTTGAATTTTTGTTTGCTATAAATAGGGTGGATATTGGGCTATAATTCACACAACTTTAAATTCAATCTATTTCAATTCAATCTCTTGCAATTCAATCTCTTTCAATTCAAGTTTGCAATGAATTCCAACTTTGGATCTTCATCCAATTCCAATTGGGGGTCCTCATCCAATTCCAAATTGGAAGCAAAATGGGCGCAAATGAGACGAGAAGATGAGGAGTCTGATGAAGAAGTTCAAGTAAGGCGCAACAAACAAAACATGGCAGCAGCCATGGCTGCGGCCATGGTGTGTCAGCCAACTGAGGAACAACCTCAATGGGGTGGCTCTGTTGCTGGTCGCTCTTACAAACCACGAAACAGAGCGATGACGCATGCCAATCTGATGAACAACTACTTTAACCCCAACTCGGTGTACAGAAGAGGATTTCAAATGTCGCTTCCGGATGAGGCGTCATGTCTTCGAGCGTTTACTTCGTGATGTCCAGCAGGTCAATCCATACTTTCGACAGAAGCGGGACAGAGCAGGCCGCCCTGGTTTCTCACCTCATCAGAAGGTTACTGTTGCACTCGAATGATGGCATATGGCTCCTCAGCTGATTCGATGGATGAAACCCATGGTATGTCTGAGTCTACATGCCTTAATACTCTTGAAGAATTTTGTAACACAATTGTTCAAGTTTACAAAGACGAGTACCTCCGAGAGCCAAATCAAGAAGATCTGAATCGGCTCCTTCACAAAGCTGAAGACCGTGGGTTTCCGGGCATGATAGGGTCATTAGACTGCATGCATTGGGATTGGAAGAACTGTCCCACTGGATGGCAAGGAGGCTTTAGCGGAAGGTCGAGAAAGCCAACTGTTGTGTTAGAGGCAGTTGCCTCATATGACACATGGATCTGGCATGCTTTCTTTGGAGTCCCTGGATCCCAAAATGACATTACAGTTCTTGGGCGTTCACCCCTCTTCAATAACTTGACGGAAGGTAAAGCACCTCAACTTGACTACTACATCAACGACCGTGAATACAATATGGGGTATTACTTGGCAGATGGCATCTACCCAAAGTGGGCGACACTTGTCCAAGCAATTCCAAAACCTAGGAATGATGCAGAAAAGTTGTTTACCTTACACCAAGGGGCATACCGGAAAGATGTTGAGAGAGCTTTCGGTATTCTACAAGCACGGTGGAAGATTATCAGCGAACCGGCAAGAGGGTGGAGTCGAGAAAATTTGAACTCCATCATGATGTCTTGCATCATATTACACAATATGATAATGGAGGATGAG